GCCCCCCAAAACTGAAAACAACTGTTCTTCCCCTTGCAGTGGGCAAATAGAGGAGTATCCAGACCATAGTTATGGGGTGGACTGGGTTTTACAGAAGAAAGTCTTTTAAAATTATCGAGCTGGAGCTGGGTGGTTGCACACTGCTTTAACCAGTGCCCCTCCCCTGTCTACCCCATATCGACCACAGGCACCCTCCTTTCAGTGCCAACGGCATTCTCACCCATAGCCCGACTGCACCCAGATGGCAATGAACTCATCGCGTGTGGCTTACACTTTGCCTGCCTTCGGTGGTCTCAATCGTGCCTCCATCTGACCTTATTCACACCTGTAATCTCAGCACTTGGGAGGCTGAGGCAGGAGGATCACCATGAGTTCTAGGCCTGCCTGTGCTCCACAGTAAGGCCCCATTTCAAAAAATTGACTGACTGGGCCAGGGATTTGCCTCAGTGGTGCCACTGCCTGCCTTGCAAGCACGAGGTCCTGAGTTCAATCCCTGGTACCAAAAAGTGGGGGGTTAGCTCAGTGGTTCTGCCGCCTGCTTTGGAAGTGCACGGTCCCATGTTCGATCCCTGGCACCAAAAAAACCAAAAAAAACAAAAACTAAGTAACTAACTAAATAACAATAATTGAAGGCAGGAAATGTGGGTCAACAGTAGAGTGCCTGCCTACCATGTGCAAGGCCTGGGTTCAACCCTGAGTACTGAAAAAAACTGATAAATAAATAATAAACTGATCGATAATATGATAATATGGTGATTTTTCCAGAATCTTTGAAAGTCAGTACTATAGTATTTTAGGGCCCTCAGAATTTTGTACTTTCAAGGTCTCCTTTTCTGGCCCTTTGTCTCCTGTTGCACTTTGTGAGATATTAGTAAATATTTGGAATCACAGGTTCTAAAATATACAAGGTCTTCTCAGTTTTAAGTATCTTGTCACTGTACTTGATATTTTGTCAAATCCCATTTCAGTGCAGCTTTGTTAGGTCCTGTTACAAAATTCTAATCTGTCTTTATTTTGTAACCAAGCTTTATGCCTTTGAAAATTTGACGTGGGTGTTGCTCTTCCTTGTGGAAATGGAGCTTGCTCTAGGTTCTGAGACCTTCATAGTCTCTTACCCACTATGTCAGTTACTCATTTGTTTTTTTTTTGTTTGTTTGTTTTTGAAGGTTCTGTGTGTTGAACCTAAGGCTCCATTAGACCACTGAGCTATATCTCCAGCTTGGAACTTTTTTTAACCACTGAGTATAAAGACTGTGTTTTAATACCCTAAGATACAAGTGTTGGAGAAGTAACTGGTTTGGAATTCAGGTTCTACATACTGTGGCGGCCCAGCCGTCACAACACGAACGTACCTGAGTTGGGGAGTGAGGATTGAGAAAAGAAAGAACACTCACACCCTGAGTGGAGACCAAGAGAAGTCTAGTTTATTTCTACAGAAACAGCTTTTCTTAAAGGCACATTAACAGGAAGCATCAAGCGATCATCTCCATCATTTCTTAGGCAAAAACAGGAATTCCTGATTTCTACAGATACCAAACCTTTGGCTATCTCTTCGAGTTCCTCCCGCCTCAGGGTAACAGATAAGCTTATCAAACAGAGTCCTTGAAAGGTAACAAATGTTATATAGCCTTTATCAATGCCTTCATTGTAAAGGAAGAAGTTTCCTTTCAAGTGTCAAATGCCAGAGAGCCATGATGGGCTCCCACACATACAGTGCTCGCCTTGGCAGTACATATACTAAAACAGATTCTGCATACATTCTGATTTTTTTTTTTTTAAATGGTACCGGGGATCAAACTCAGGCCCTTACACTTGCAAGGCAGGTGGTAGAACCACTGAGCCAAATCCCTGGCCCCATTCTGAATTTTTAAAAAATAAATTATTTAGACTGTTTTCTTTTATTTTTAATGTTTAAAAATTTTATTTGGATGGGGTGAGGTAGGGTTTCACCACGTAGTTCAAGCGGACCTTGAACTCCCTGTGTATGAACTCCCTGCGTATCCCAGGCTGACCTTAAACTTGCAGTGATCCTCCTGCCTCAGCCTCCCAGATGCTGAGATTACAGGCGTGCTCCATGTATGGCTGAAGAATGTTCCCTTTTCATGTCTCAAAGAATCTAGTTGCATGCTGGGCTTGGTGGCGCATGCCTGTAATCCCAGCACTCGGGAGGCTGAGGCAGGAGGATCACTGTGAGTTCAAGACCAGCCTGGGCTACATAGTGAGACAAGCCCCCCCACCCCCCAAAAGAATCTAGTTGCTGCCTTACACTAATCTACAGTTAGAACCTAGAAAAAAACTAAGCTTTTTGAAAGCCTAAAACAAAAAGCAGTGGTTTAGTTTAATAGAGTCCTGTGAGGTCATTTAGGCAGAAATCCCATGGGATGATTCCCTGGGGAAATATTTCTGTGTGCTGTCTTTGAGTCCCAACCCAGGATCACTTCCTAATTGGAGTGTCGGTGAGTTTCTCTGAATAAAAGTGGTTGTCTGTATGTCCTGCTTCTGATTCTCCAATTATTCTACTAGCTGTTTGTAACAAAGGACCTAAAAAAATTTGGAAGGATTCATCAGGCCCTTGTCTGATTTTAGAGAGATTCTCTGTAGCCCGTCTAGAGGAAGGTAATTTTCTCCAAGACGTTTTGGCAGCTGCAGTAATTTGAGCATATACTCCAGGAGGGAACATTAATTGTTGAGCAACATCTACATAATGTCCTTCTCCTGCCAGCATATCATAAGTGGCATCTAATCCACCTTGAGCTCGATTCAGATCAGCTGTTTTCTGACATTGTTCAGCATATTCAGATTTCCACAATAAATAATCTCCTCCCGCTAGGCAGGCCTTAGCAATCTGTTTCCAATCGAAAGGCGGCAAGGCCTCAGTTGCAAGAGAATGTAGCATGGCTAATGTAAAAGGGGCAGTCGGCCCATATTGGGCACAAGCCATTTTTAATTCTTTTAATTGTTTAAAAGGGATGGGGGCGTGTTGTCGAACAGGGTTTCCCTGAGCATCCCGAGCCTCAAAAACTGGGCAGGCCAGAGAAAATGCAGATACATCCTCACCCTCTTTAAGGGCTTGTTGTAAACCCTGCTGAACCGGAGACTTGAGGAGTTGGGAGTTACTCTCACGGGCTCCCAGCCTTCAGGAGGTCCTGAAGCCAAAGCAATCAGAAAAGGCTCCTTTTCTAAGCGATCGTCACCAGGAGAAGGATCAAGATCTGCTATTGTACTAGGCGTGTTTTTAGGGGGTTCATTACTAATCCATTGGGCTTTCATTTGTTGAGACAGATTTTCTATCACATTTTCTAATTTTTCTATCCTATCTTCCAACTGAAGTTTTTGTGAATCCTCAGTATGGGCTGCTGCCACTAAAGGCTGCCACACACCTTCATAATATTTAGCAGTTTTTTCCTCAAGAGTGGCCGAATCCTCAGGACCTAGAGGTTCTTTATAAAAGTTTTCTAAAGGTTCTGGCGGAGCCGTCAGAACAATAGTTTCAGTTTTACAATCATCCTAAGACTCAGGTCTCTCTACACCCAATAAATTTTTAAACATATATACAAAAGGCCTATGACTATTGCCGGCTCCCATTTCTAATATCTGCAAGAAAACTCAGCGCTCCTTACCTTTTCGTTGCGCCTCCCTTCTCCTCTGCGGTGTCCTTCACTGGATCCCTTGATACTCAGGTCCCTGTTCAGGCGCCACGTGTGGCGTCCCAGCCG